CGCCGCGACCGACGCTGCTCGCACGTGACGACAACAAGCGCTACAACACCTGGTACCTGGACAGCTGCTGCGGCCAGCACATGGTGGGCTCGGAGCGTTACATATCCAACGCCGTCGCCACCCCCACAGTCACTTACGTCACCGTGGCCAACAACACACGCCTGCGCGCAAGCGCGCAAGGCATCGTTGTGCTCAAAGCACGCGGAAGCCGCACGCACATCACACTTAATGATGTGCTGATCGTCCAGAACCTGCGCTTCAACAAACTTTCCGCCGCACAGCTCATGGACTGCGGCGTTGACCTCAGCACGGATCACGCAATGCGCGACATTTTGCTGCACTACGAATCGCGCACCTTTCCCCGCAGGCAGATCGGACGAGCACACTCCGAAAATGGAGTGTATGTCCTGGATTTCGACATCCCCGACTGCAGCGGCGACTCGCACGAGTTAATTGATCTCGTGCCACTGCGCTTCGAGCACATCCACCGCAGGGATTGGAAACACCCTGACGGCAGGCCGTGGGTCCCGCATCATCCCCACCCACGCGAAACGGCGCTGCACGACCCCGACCCAGACGGCATCTGCAGGGACTGTCACACGCCGACGGCGTCCACCAGCGCCATTGCCGGCCGCGGACTCGCCGCCATCGCCGAAGCAGAACGTCATGCGCCGCCAGAGGAAGGAATGTCTCAGCTCGAGCTTGAGGTCACTACTCGCCGCGTGTTTGGCGCTGACCAAAGCCCCCACGCCGGACCACCCTCACAGCGGCTCGAAAGCATTTTGCGTGGACAACGCCGCGAAACCTTCGACTCACGCGGAGTCGCGCGCCCTTACACCCTCGAAGACTTTCTGCAGGTGTACCCCCACTGGCGCGACCCCGTGGCAACGCTTACCGTGGAACAAGAGGAAGCACTGGCGCGCCGGGAAGCAGAAAAACTCCGCCAACAAAGTCTCGCTGAGGCGCGCGGGACATTCGCTTGCGGCGCATGGGGAGCAGTAGCGGAAGAAAGCGCCTCCAATGAAGGGGGGTGGGGAAGCACCGGCGGCCGGGAAGCAGGAAATACCGGCGGATGGGGGGACAACGGCGGAACCTGGGCCAACGCAAGCGGTGTATGGGGCGCCGCAACTGGCGCCGACAACAGCGGCTGGAGACCTTCCCGCGAAGAACGAAGGGGGGGAGAGGATGAAACAGAGGAAATTGACGCAACACCTGCAGTCGTTCCCCTCGGTCGTCCCCCGCGCCATATCCCACTCGCGTTACCCCCTCCTGACAATCCCCCACGTCGCGACCCATGGGATACCATCGCCTGGGGTAACGAGCCGTCAACCCCGCGTCGCACCGTCTACGGACCTGCCCCTGAGCCACGCGAACCCACCTTCGTCCCTGGAACCATCCCTGGGACCAACATCCCGCTCTCTGAGATCCGCAACAGAGAGTTCCTGGCACTGATGCTGACCACCGCGGCAGCAGGAGAAGATGCAGAGGAAGCAGCAGCAGAACCCGCTACCGTACCTGACAAAGACCCCGAGGAAGCTCGCACGCGCTACATGCGTACTTCCGGCTTTCGCGCTGACGATGCACTTTGGCACCAGCGCCTCGGACATCCTTCACCCGCGCGAAGGATGTCCGGACTTTTGCTCCTTGCGCACTCCTGCGCCCTAACGGCACTAAAGTGAGAGGTAAGACACACCCGCGCAACTGCTCCGTCTGCCCCGTCGCTGCGCTGAGCCACCAACCGTTCCCGCTGCTCGAGCCTGGGACAAATCTTTACCCCAAGCTGTATAAGGTGTAAAGCGACTTCCTGAACGTAGGGCACTGCGGAGTCGACGACAAACTGTACACGCTCACCTTCATCGACGCTGGAACGCGCTACGTGTGGGTCGTGAACGTCGAATCACGCGACAGAGCCTACGAGGTGTTTCGCCTCTGGCTAGCACACGCGCAGCGGCAATCTGGGGAGAAACTCAAGATCTGGCAATCTGACGGCGCGGCAGAATTCAGGAGCAACCAGATGCAGACCTTCCTGGCGCAAAAGGGGATCGAGCATTTCTCTCTCCTACGCGCACCAGCAGCAGAGCGTAGCTGAGCGGACGAACCGCACGTTGATGACGAAGGTGCGGGCGCTGATGAGACAGTCTAAATTGCCGCCGATCTACTGGACCTACGCAATGCACCACGCCGTGCGGGTGCATAACCTGCTTTCAACCACCGCCATCACCGGCAATCTATCCCCACATGTCAAGTGGACAGGGACTAAGGGGGACACATCGATGCTCCGCGTATGGGGGTGCATGGTGCAATACCGCCCGCCGACATCAACCATCGGCAAATTCGCCAGCCGCGCGCGCTGGGGGATTCACCTCGGCATCAGTAACGAGTACAAGGCATGGATCGTGCTGGACCTTCTCAGTCAGAAAACCGCCCACGCTCGCGACGTAATCTTCTACGAACGACTCTTCCTCGAGCAATTCCGCCACGACGAGGAGACGAACGCGAACCGCGTCTACGCAAATGATGGGCACAGCTTTGCAACGCCTGAAGACGAAGCCGCTGCAGCAATTCTGGAGCAGGACACTAGGGGCGAGTTCACATGGGAAGATCGGCGCAGCAGCGACGTCGACGAGGACGATTCCTCGGAAGGAGGAATGGGCGGAACAGGCGGAAGCGGCAGAGGCGCAAGGAGCAAAACCAGCGCCACCTGAACCAGAAAGCGATGATGACGATGTGCAGGAAGTCATCCCGCAACGTCGCCACGACAGCACCGTCTCAGGACTACAACTGCTCGGACTTCACACCGCAACCTCGAAGGCGGCACGAAGCCCTTTCTGGACCACACAGCAAGGAATGGCGCGAGGTAATGGACGCGGAAATCAAGGCGCTCGAGTCCCGAGACACCTGGGTGTTAGTCGACCGTGCGGCAATCAAAGGCGCAAGGATCCTCTCGGGGAAGTGGGTCTTCCGCGTGAAGACTACAGCGGACGGTCGAGCGCTTCAAGACGCGTTGGGTGGTTCGCGGCTATGACCAGAGGCATGGCATCGACTTCGACCAGACGTTCGCTCCAGTCAGCCGCCACACCTCCGTTCGAATCTTGCTCGCCATCGCAGCCGCAAGGCACCTGCCACTCCGCCAGATCGACGTGAAGAACGCGTTCCTGTACGCGTTAGTGGACGCCGTGATCTACGTAGAACAGCCGCACACATACGGCGAAGGAGACTCACGCGTGTGTCAATCGCGCAAGTCACTCTACGGGATCAAGCAGGCGCCGAGGCTGTGGCAGCAGTATCTGCACAACATCCTGCTTGAAATCGGGTTCAAGCAGATGCCCCACGATCCAGGAATGTACCGCCGCGATTTCCGCGGCGAATACATCCTCCTCACAGTTTACGTCGACGACTTGCTCTACACAGGCTCAAGCAACCAGCTACTCGAGCAGTTCGAGAAGGCCCTGGCGGGGCGCGTCGACATCACGTGCAACTACGAGGTGAAGCAGTTCTTAGGCCTCAACATCTCCTACGCGCCTGAGGCCATCCACCTCACAGCGACGAAGTACGCAGAAGAGTTAGGGAAGCGGTTCAACATCTCACCTGCACCCCTCTCAACTCCCTACCGAACCCCTGGACCGAACCACAAACCTGACAACAAAGCCCTACCCCCTGCTGGAGTTCAGACTTACCAGCAGCAGCTGGGATGCCTGCTCTTCGCCTCTGTCACCTGCAGGCCAGACCTCTCCTACATCGCAAGTCAGCTGGCCCAGTTATCACGCAAACCAACCAACGGCTGAGAATCTTCTGGATCTGCAGCGCGCCCTGCAGTACCTCGTCTCAACGCCCAAGATTGGGCTATGCTACTCAACTGCACCAACCCCATCCTTCAATCTCATCGGCTACGTGGACGCCGATCATGCAGCAGATCCCGACAATCGACGAGCCAGGACCGGCTTCCTGTTCCGACTCGAACCAACGGGACCAATCTCATGGAACTCGCAGAAGCAGGAGTTGGTTGCCCTGTCATCAGCCGAAGCGGAATTTATCGCAGCAACCGCAGCAGTTCGCGAAGGGCTTTACTTACAGGAACTTCTACAGGAGGCGAAAATTCCGGCTTCGCCCACCTTTCGTCTTCACTGTGACAACCAGAGCGCGATCCGCATCGCGAACAAACCTGGTTTTGTCAACCGCACCAAGCACATTGCGCTGCGGTATTTCTTCGTGAAGGACGAAGTGGACAAGGGCAAGGTCAACTTGACCTATTGCCCGACCGGTGACATGGCAGCGGACTTCCTCACGAAGCGACTGCCACGCCAGCAGTATCAGCACTGCTCCAAACTCAGCGGCGTGGTCAAGCAGGTCAAGTCGAGCTACGGCCAGGAGTGAAGGGGGGTGTTACGAATAGTAATACCCAAATGTTACTGTGCACTCCTTACCGCAGTAAAGAGAAGCATGCAGTATCGAGAACGAACGCGAAGAGTCAGACGGTTAAGAATTGACTCGAAGCGTCAGACAGTTACAGCACATCTGGACCGTCGGAGCAGACGGCATCGAGCAGCTGCAGGCAGGATGGATTTGGCGGGAACAGTTTCATAACTGTACGCGCCGCACGGTTAAATTTGAATAAGGGAATGTACCCCTTAGAGTACATGGCTAGCTAGGACGTTTCGCCTTCCCTGTACTCATATTTATATCGTTGTATTTGCATGTTTTTATTATCTCAAGCATTTACATTCACTCTGCTATTGAGGTCAAGGGCCCACCAACACTACCTTACTGCGTGCGAACCTTCCTGAGTAGATCCTGGTGACGATCAACTTCTGATCGTAGCACACCTCCGATACAAGTCTGAGGCTCAGCCTACACTACTAAAACTAGTCTGAAATTTCAGACAAGTCAGTAAAAAAAACTCTGAAAAATCAGACAGGGTGCCTAAAAAAAATCTTTGAGTTCAGACTAGGTACAAAAAAAAAGTCTGAACGGATTCTGAATCAGACTCCAAAGTCTGATATCTAGGGCCCTGTTGACAAGCAAGCAACACGAAGAGGAAGAAATAAAGAGACACTCCTGGAACGGTAGAAGACAAACAGAAGGACGACCAGGGGAAGGGAGGGACAGAGGAAGGGAGAAACGGAGGAAGGGACGAAGGGAGGAAGAGAGGAACAGAGGAAGGGAAGGATGGATGGATGAAGGGAGTAACAGATGAAGGGATGTAGGGAGGAAAAAAGGATGGGAGAAAGGATGAAGAATGTGATTGAGGGCAGAAGGGATTGAGGGCAGAAGGGAGGAAGTGATGAAGGGAGGAAGTGATGAAGGGAGGAAGTGATGAAGGGAGGAAGTGATGAAGGGAGGAAGTGATGAAGGGAGGATGCGATGAAGGGAGGAAGTGATGAAGGGAGGAAGTGATGAAGGGAGGAAGTGATGTTGGGAGGAAGTGATGAAGGGAGGACGGGGGGGAAAGGGAGGACAAGCAGCACCACGAATGCCTCTGCTAAGTGACTCTGCCCACCACCATCCGCCCACAGCGCCCCAAGCAGCTCCCTGGTGCAGAAAAGCACAAGGGATGAAGAGGTGCCGCTGGGCCGAGGGCGGTGTGGGAAACACCTGGAGGGGAGGGGGAGAGGATCGGATGGGGAAAGGACGGATGGGGAGGGATGAAGAGAGGATGGGTTTGGGAGAGGAGGGGATGGGGAGAGGATGGGAGGGGGTGGGGAGAAGAGGGGACGACAAGAGGAGGGGATGGGGAGAGGAGGGGACGCGGTGACGAGGGAAGGGGAAAGAAGCGGATGTGTATAGGAGGAGATGGGGTGAGGAGGAGATGGGTTGAGGAGGAGATGGGGTGAGGAGGAGATGGGGTGAGGAGGAGATGGGGTGAGGAGGAGATGGGGTGAGGAGGAGATGGGGTGAGGAGGAGATGGGGTGAGGAGGAGATGGGGTGAGGAGGAGATGGGGTGAGGAGGAGATGGGGTGAGGAGGAGATGGGGTGAGGAGGAGATGGGGTGAGGAGGAGATGGGGTGAGGAGGAGATGGGGTGAGGAGGAGATGGGGTGAGGAGGAGATGGGGTGAGGAGGAGATGGGGTGAGGAGGAGATGGGGTGAGGAGGAGATGGGGTGAGGAGGAGATGGGTTGAGGAGGAGATGGGGTGAGGAGGAGATGGGGTGAGGAGGAGATGGCGTGAGGAGGAGATGGGGTGAGGAGGAGATGGGGTGAGGAGGAGATGGTGTGAGAAGGAGATGGGGTGAGGAGGACGGATGGGGAAAGGACGGATGGGGAGGTGAGGGATGGGGAAGGGATGGGGAGGCGAGGATGGGGAGGTGAGGGATGGGGAGGTGAGGGATGGGGAGGTGAGGGATGGAGAGGGTAAGGGATGGGGAGGTGAGGGATGGGGAGGTGAGGGATGGGGAAGGGATGGGGAGGCGGGGATGGGGAGGCGAGGGATGGGGAGGTGAGGGATGGGGAGATGAGGGATGGTAAGATGCAAGACCGGGAGGTGAGGGATAGGGAGATGGGGGATGGAGAGGGTAAGGGATGGGGAGGCGGGGATGGGGAGGTGAGGGATGGGGAAGGGATGGGGAGGTGGGGATGGGGAGATGCGGGATGGGGAGATGAGGGATGGGGAGGTGAGGGATGGGGAGGTGAGGGATGAGTAGATGAGGGATGGGGAGAAGAGGTACGGTAAGATGAGAGACTAGGAGGTGAGGGATGGGGAGGGTAGGGATGGGGAGGTGAGGGATGGGGAGGGAAGGGATGGGGAGGGTAGGGATGGGGAGGTGAGGGATGGGGAGGGAAGGGATGGGGAGGGTAGGGATGGGGAGGTGAGGGATGGGGAGGGAAGGGATGGGGAGGGTAGGGATGGGGAGGTGAGGGATGGGGAGGGAAGGGATGGGGAGGCAGCATAGGCGACGGAGGGGAATGAGAGAAGGCGAGCTAATGTCTGTTGCGCTGGTTTTTTACTCTGCTCCAGCCCTCTGAGGTTGTAAGCGAACTGTTGGTTGCGATGTCTGATATCCTCTCGTTGACTCACAGAAGAGTCGCATCATTTTTCGCTAACCTGCCAACTTTCGCAATTCTTCCGCACCTCACCCTGCCGAACCCCAACCTACCGAACCAAGCGTTGACTCAGTTTTTGTAATTCAGGCTTCGGGTTTAGGGTGAAACAGAACAAGAATATCCAAGGCGGATCTCGTGGGTTTTGTACGTTTTAGAGCGGTTTTTGCGGTACACCGTTCAGCACTTCTGTTTGAAGGTAGAAGGTACGCACGCTCCCCTACACATCCGCGCTTCTGTTTGTTTCCCCACCTTCATGCTCCCACAGCGACATATTCCATGGGGTTCCTATCAACTAAAATCAAGAGTTTGATAAAATTGTTTTTCTTGCTTATCCTCCAGTATCCTGTCCATTTCCCGTTTTTTCCTAGTCGCACCCTTAGCTCCTTAGGACCATCGCATCGTTTAGTTTTGTCTCCAGTTGCGTTTCAATGGCTGCCGCCGTTCGCGTCGTCCCACCCTCCGAAGCGAAACATCTGGTCGAGTCTGGTCACGTCTTTCTCGACGTTAGGTGAGAATGCATTGACATTAGCGTCCCTCGTTCCGAAGGCTGATAGAAAATTCTCTGACCGCTTTCGAGATGGAGTATCTCAGCGTGCATCATCAGACCCTACGTTCATGCTCTCGAGTTTTGCCGAACCGTTGGATCGCGCTTTGGTTCGTTGCAGCTGTCAGCCAGTATGGCACCACCAGCGCATAATATAGTTTCGCGAAATTCGTCTTCGCAGTGCCGCTCTATGAGTTCTTTTTGCGGGCCGTGAGTGCCGTCATGTGCGAGGTTTAAGTGAAGAGTCGACTTACGAGCCTCCTCGAGGGTCACCCGTGACCTATCCTATACTAAGGACTGACATGCTCATTCTGCCACCCTGCAGAACACCTCAGGAATATGCATCTGGGCACGTCGCGGGATCCACCAACATTCCTTTCATGCTCACCGCTTCTGACGGTAAGCCCTTCCCATTTCTTGTCCACTTTTAGCAAACAATCTGGTGCATTAGGCATTTTAGCGCGCTGTATTGCATATGAGTATGAACGTGTTGAAATATGGCCGAACGTTGTTTCAATCCCAAGGACACACGTATCTAGGTTTTCGTTGGGAGTAGTTCGTGCATTGGCAGGATCAGGACGGTAGGGCTGATCGTCGGCGCTCCATTTACTGATTATCTTGACGTATTTGTGCATGCGTGGCCTTCCAGGATCCATGGTTAGAAATGCGGATTTCCTTGATCAAGTGAAGGCAAAGTACTCTCCCAGCACGCCCCTTGTTCTGGTATGGTATCCAATGTATTATGGTGATACATCCAGGGGGGTCTTTATCCAATGCAACATCGTTTTTCACGAGTTAACAGCTCACCTAACTGTCTTGCGCGCTTTCATCCAGGCTTGTCGAAGTGGAAAGCGGTCAAATATGGCTGCCAACGTCCTCAGAGATGTGGTGAGAATGGGGAAACGGGCATTTGGGAAATTGGAGTGTAGGTGTGGCTTGTCTGACGAAACCTACTTTTTTTGCAGGGCTACACATCACTCGCGGATATGGAGGGAGGAATGATGGCCTGGAAAGGCTTGCTTGCTCATTCATAGGGGGCTGCATTCCCTCAAATGGTTTTTGTATAAGAGTGGACATATCATAAGGTTATTGTAGTACTTGTAGCCTTGCAATGTATCTAGACGAGCATATTCCGCAAGGATGTTGTATTGTAAAGTGAATTGCTGGAAGACGCGTCCCGTCTCGTTGCGCACGGTTCAGTTGCCTCGTCTCGCATTGGCCAATTCGGCGCCGCAGTTGCTATGTCATCATCGAGGGCATGCCCGATCACATTGCACTTGGCCAACATCCCACGCGCTCGTGTTTCCCACTCAACCATCCACTTTCATTGAACCGCAAATACAGCGCCAGTTGGTCCGCAACCTCACATCAGTTGACGCTGAAATACCTCCACAAACCTGAACGCTGGCCTAAGAGTTGACGCTGAAATACCTCCGCATTTCCAGCGAAACCTACATGAGCTCAGTTATAATCCCATGGTGGCGGCAGCATTTCGGAGCTCCCTCTTTACTATTTCACCTCCTGCATCTGTCGCCTACCATCCTGGAGCCGCCCTCGCCGTTCTGAATGAACGCCCCGCGCTCTCCCTTTGAAACGCAGATATGACATTTTCAGCGCCGACGATGCATGTAGAATCCTCGAGCACCACGGACAGCTCAAACCTCTCGTTCTTCTGCAGCGTTTCTCGGGCTGACCTCGCATTCTCCAGAGACGCACAGTCACCAGCGCCCGTCAATCTGCTATCGACGTCTCTCAGGGTGCTACCAGCGACGCTTGGTCGCGTGTTCGCGGTGTCGGCGCTGCTGCTCGTCGCGCTATCCACCGTCTCGCAGTACCGCGATCTACAAGCAGCCGCGATAATGGCGCAGCCGCCCTTTCCCGTGCTGCCGCCGCTGGAAGTCCATCGGCTCGTGGAGGAGCAAGGCTACGTCTACCTGGACGTCAGGTGAGCACTCTGAAATCGAACGCGCTTCGAGGTGTCTCAACGAGCGTCTTACACGTGATTGGCTAAAAGCTCTCTTTCGTTTCACCGTCGCGAATGCTTGTTTCCACGTAGATGAGGGTTCTGTTCGGACCCTTCCTCCATGGTATTCCGTGCCACGTGCCTCGGTGCTTGCATTGCGTGGCGCAGAACGGCAGAGGAATTCGCGCAGGTGCACGTGCCGGGGTCCGATCTCATTCCCTACTTCATCACCGCACCCGACGGTACGGCCCATCCGCACCATCTTCCTGGCGACATTTCTCTCTCTTTGTTCTTCTTCTTTTCGCTTCTTTCCGCTTCTTTTTCCCCCACAGCACGTTTCGCTCTCCCATCCCCAAACGCGCTTTCAACTGATTTTGCATCTCAATTCAGCGGGTGATGCGTGTTCTGAGATGCAGCCCCACTCACACACCTCATGCACCCAATGCAATCCGCTTCTTGCTCCTGCAGGTTCACAGCAGCCTAATCCCCATTACCTCCAGCAAGTGAAGGCCAAATACGCCCTCGATACGCCCCTCATCGTGGTACACCGCCATACACACCTCTCCCCCCATTCTGTGAAGCATCTCCTCCAGTCGCTTGCCTCACTATCATCGTGGTATCAACCCTGTTCAAGTTCGCGAGCTGTGCTCCCTTTGTTCCGCGCCCCCTCCTCCCCCCCCCGCACCCCAGGCCTGTCGCAGCGGCAGGAGGTCCAACCTGGCAGCGTGGGAGATGACGGCCCAGGTGAGCCACCAAGGACAATGTGCTATGTATTCTCCTAGGCAGAAGCATGCCCTCTACTGCATGCAATCCTTGCCCCGTGCTATAGCCATTTGGGTTTGCTTGCGTTGCGCTGCTGTGTGCATCACAGGGGTTCACAAGGCTCGTGGATCTCAAGGGCGGCATCATCTCGTGGGAGGAGAGTGGGCTGCCTGTGGGGATACGGTATCTGTAATTTAACAACTCTACCATCCAGTCACCACTCGCCCAGGTTCATAGCCACGAATCCACTGTACAGCCGCCCGCCGGTGGCTCTGAGCTCGTTGATAAGGCGACTCCAGTTGGACCCCAGCGACCCGATGAACACGTCGCACTGCACTGCGACCAACGCACTCGCCAGGCTGGCAGCCACGGACTGCGCGGCGTCGTACTCTCGATTGCGCTCCGAGTGGGACGGCTGGCGGGCGTTGGTGGCGAAGATGAAGTGCCAGTCGGGGTAGTGGGCCGTCTCGTTGATCACTGACTGTGCCATGCCATGGTGGGAGAAGGGGTGGGGGTTGGGGGTGGGGGGAAGGGGACGGCACTGATGTGTGGGACTGTGGGGATGCTGAGTGTGCAAGGGATGGGTACAGAGTGTGGCATGCTGACATGGCACGGGGCACATGTCTTAGACCATGTGAGGAAGTAAGGACGTAACCAAGAATTCTGCCTCATTTGACGGCCCGAAACGAACCACACGAGTTGGAAAACGCCACAGTAGGTTCACACGAGACGCACAGGAGCAGGGGGGCCTTGTCCCGTGCGTTAGCCTCACCTTCAACAACAGGGGTCCGTATTGGCTGGCGCTACCTGATCCTTGGTGTCCGCTCACACCCACCTTACATCCACTGCGGCATGTTGTAGCTCACAGGGACATCCACACCACACAGCACATGGGCTCTCTGTGAGCCACAACACACAGCACATGGGCTCTCTGTGAGCCACAACACACAGCACATGCATACCAGAGTGCATGTCCCACCCACCTGTGCCTCCATGTTGAGCCACACGTGTCGGGGGTCCACCAGAGCACGGCGCAGGCAGTATGCAAGGAATATGTGGGCGGGCAGCGACAGCGGCAAGCAGCGCAACTCCCACCTGAGCTTCAGTGTTGAGCACACAACCCACCTGAGTTTCAGTGTTGAGCACACACCCCACCTGTGCCTCTGTGTTGAGCCAAACGTGTCGGAGGTCCACCAGTGCCCGTCGCAGGCGGTAGGCGAGGAACATGTGGGCGGGCAGCGACAGCACCCTCATCTCTGACAGCTTGTCGCTCTGCCTCACGTGCATGCTCACTATCGGCCGCTGCATGTACGGCTCTCTGCCTAGGTCTGTAGGTGTGCTGGGCGATGACATGCGGTGCCAAGGCGTGCTGGTGGTAGGTGGGGGATCCACGGGAGTGTGACTCCCAGGAGTGCCTGGTGCAGCAGAAGAAGCAGAAGTAGCAGCAGCGGCAGCAGGGGCAGCGGCAGCAGATGAAGCATCAGTAGCGCAGGACTCATAGTGTTGGAGAGCGAGTGAGAAGGCATGGAGTGAGGAGCGATGGGAGGACGGGGGAGAGGATGGGAGGTTGGTGGAGTGAGAGGTGGAGTGAGAGGAGGAGTGGAGAGAAGCAATGCGATTGGCTACGTGCATGCCGTAGGCGGTGTGTCTCTGTTGGTTGATGACGTGGCAGAGATGGGCTGATGGCCACCTCAGCATGAAGCGCACCGCCTGAGCCCGCCACCAGTGCACCTTGGTGGGAAGGGATTGGAAGGGCAGGGGGAGTGGAAGACGGAATCAGTTCGGTGCCAAGGCGCAACCTGTGCTTTCAACCAGTGCACCTTCAATGGGGTGTCATGGGGGTGGACGTAGGGATGGGCGGAAAGAAAAGAACGAATCAGAAAAGTGCAAAGGTGCTGTGCCCGCCACCAGTAAAACGGGGAGGGAGTGGCGAGTGGGGGAAAGAGGGGCGAAGGAATGGATGGAGTGGAGGAGAAGAATGATCGAGCCAGGGAAGAACACACGGCATACTGGCTGCTGCCACCCCCAGTGCAGCTGAGACGGGTGGAGCAGCCGAGGAATGGCACAAGTACCAAGGCACAAGTACCAAGGCACAAGTACCAAGGCACAAGTACCAAGGCACAAGTACCAAGGCACAAGTACCAAGGCACAAGTACCAAGGCACAAGTACCAAGGCACAAGTACCAAGGCACAAGTACCAAGGCACAAGTACCAAGGCACAAGTACACTGGCTGATGCACAAGTGCCAGTGCGAGAGATACAGGGCGGTGGGAGAAGAGCACAACAACAATGGACCCCACCTCGACAAGGAATAGGATTTCTGCAACCATGGATCCCGTGCCTGCATGCAGGTGTAGCAAGTGGCTAGCTGCATGTATGATGCCTCAGTACGGCTGTAGCACTAAGGGCAAGGCACTTGGAGGACAAAGCTGTGCTTGTGTGTGCTGCTTCCCTTCCACAGACCACCTCTTTCTGTTCATGACGGCCTGTGCCACCCGCCCCGCCTGCCCCGCCTGCCCCGCCTCACCATCTTGGTGTCAGCGCTGGTGGGCGCCACGTGGCCGCCATGCTCCACCACGTCAGCATCCGCCAGGTATGCATCGCCCCACAGCGATGCTGCGCGGCCCTCGTAGCTCATGAACACGTCCGTGGTGGGGTCCAGACACACCGCCTGAGAGGGGGGTGCACACATGCCAGGTGAATCTTCAGGTGGCCACAAGAAGCCTCAGTTTTTGTAGCAAGGGTGCTGTGCAGCACGGCCCTCGTGGGTCATGAAGACGTACGTGGTGGGGTGGGGTCCAGACACACCGCCTGGTTGGGTGGGCCATAGGTGGAGGTGGAGGAGGGGAGGCAGAGGGAGCGAGGCAGAAGGTGGGGACAGATCAGCCCGTGTTGCATTGCATGGCATGAGAACGTCCGTGGCGGAGCTCAGGCACACCACCTGACAGGGGCACACTCACACATGGCAGGTGAATCTCCAGGTGGTTTCAGGTTCCAAAAGACGCGTGAGGGGTTGTGTAGCGCGTGGCCGTCAGACGAGGGGAGGGAGAGGGCAGCGGGCATGGACGGGGGGCGGAGGGCGGTAGGTGGCAAGGGGGAGGCGGAAGGGGGGAAGGCGGATGGGGAAAGGGGGAGGCGGAAGGAGGGAGGTGGGCGGCGGGGAAAAGGCGGAAAGGGGGAGGCGGATAAGCATGTGTCAATGACACACAGAGCTAGCTGGCATGAGTGTCGCATCCACGCACTCGTGAAGGCGCTCTTGGTCCAGACAGCACGCGTCTCACCTGCTGCTGTGCTGCACTGCACTGCACTGCTCCCCCATGCAGCAGCTCCTCCCTCGGGGCACAGGAACCAGCGCCGAGCAGCCTACTGCACATGGAAACACCGCTCTCAGCCACGTGCCCACACGCGCCTGTTGCTCTGACCGCGCGGCCCAATCGTACCCTCGCCCTGCCCCCCCCGTGTGACGCCCTCCCCGATGGCGCCTCCTCTGCGCCTCTCTGCCAACCTGCCTGCCACCCCCCAGCAGCCCCACTCACTCACCTGTTGCTCCGACTGCGCAGCCCTATCATACCCCAGCTCCTCCCCCGTGACACAGTCCCCGATGGCGTCCTGTGCTCGCAGGCGGTTGAGCTCCGCCTCGCAGTCGGGGGACACCACAGGGAAGAAGAAACACTCCCACGCGCCCTGCTGCCCTGTGGCTGCACGGCAGGTGGTCAGGGGCAGAGAGAGGAACAAGGAGGATAAAACGGAGGGCAGAGAGACAAGCGAGAGCAGGGGGGAAGGAGAGCGTTGAGAGCAATGGGACTAGTTGTCATCTTGAGCAGAGGCATGGCAAAGGCATACTCTTGTGATCCATCAGAGGGCATTTGCGAGCAGCTGTGGTACCATGTGCCTCTCCCTCTTCCCGGTTCTCATTTCATACATGTCAGGCAACCGGCTCCACACAGACAACCCCCACTCCCTCACTCCTCCCTCACTCCACCCCCACTCCACCCTCACTCCACCCTCACTCCACCCTCACTCCACCCTGACCACACCACACCCTACATATCCCTTGTGAAAGCACTTCAACCCTTCAGTGGCAAGGACACATTCCCCTCCGAGTGGCCAGTACCCTCGAGTCCTCTTGTGTAATGATCATCGAATCTCCTCTTGCATGTAATTCATGTTGCAGTGTGCGTGAGACAAGGGTGATGGAGTGGGTTAGTGAACAAGGCAATGGGAAAGGGGAGAGAACAAGGGGGAGAGCAATGGGCAGCTGTGAGAGCAATGGGCAGCTGTGAGATCAATGGGCAGCTGTGAGAGCAATGGGCAGCTGTGAGAGCAAGAGCAATGGGCAGCTGTGAGAGCAATGGGCAGCTGTGAGAGCAATGGGCAGCTGTGAGAGCATGGAATGTTGGCCCCACACCCTAGGAGATGAATGAAAAGCAAAGGACGAGATGTGATGAGTGGAAAGCAATGGCGCATTGAGAGCAGTGGCACACGGTGCAAGTGAAGCGACCTTGGCAGTGGGGGTGGTTGGCGACCTTGGCAGTGGGGGTGGTTGGCGCGGTCAAAGGAGTTGGCGAGCGGGATCAGCGTGCGGTTGTACAGCATGGCCAGTCCCAGGAACGCGCCCATTAGGTGCACCTGCGCGCAGGGGAGGGGAGAGGCAGGAGGACGGGAGGGAAGGTAGGGAGAGGAGTGGGTCAGGGAGAGTGACGAGAGGAGTGAGTGCGGTTGTGCATCAGATGCACCTGCGAACGTTGGGGGGAGGGGCGGTGGAGGAGAGAGGGGGCGTGTGCAAGAGGGAGAGAGGGGGCGAGGACAATGATGAGATGAGAGAGCGTGGATGTGCGGCATGGATCTAGTGAAGGTGGGGCGACAAGCTCATGATGGGATGGGATGGGAGGGTGGAGGGAGACGGGCAATGTTACGTGCACTGGCGTTGACTCACCTGCGACCCCACGTATGTTCAGACATCCCAGCGAGCAGCAGTTTCTAAGGAGAAGGTTTAGCAAAGGAGAAAACAGTTGTAGTAAAATCCTAGCTGATTCGCGTAGGGTCCTGTAAATTCGGAGCTCTTCACTAAGCAGTGGTTAAAACACGGACAAACATGTTTCGGCTGTAGGGAGACCCCTAGCAAGCCTTCATCAGTGTCAAATGAAAGAAAGTGAGCGAGGCCTAGCCTTCTAAAGCAGAGCAAGAAAAGCTAACCACCGTATTTACAAATCCCTAGGCTATCTTCACCCTAGTCAACCCAAAAAGATGGGGACCAATCCAGGCTGCCCTGGAAATTCCAAGGAGCCACGTCTTCATTCCTTGACAGTGTCTTCATGAGTAACGGGGCCTGCATCTTCGCCACTTCGCAAACTCGAGAGTCGCGCGCGCACCAGTGGCTTTGATAAGCTACACCCCAATTTCCAAGCAACAAAAATCCTATCTACATATAATCCGCGTGAGAGAAGTCTCGTTTTGAGGCGCCTCAAAACGACCCCCAGTCGGAGACAAGAAGTCCACGGTGTGAACTCTGTCTCCATGGTAGAACTTGTTGCTTGAGTAACTGGTTGGTGACGATGTGGGCGAGGAGCTTTGGCCGTTGAGCGAAACAGACACTTTTGAAGAGGGGGTGGAGAAAAGCTGGCGGGTAACCACGAGTGCGGAGTCGCTGGAAAAACGCCGACTTCGTAGCGAGGAAGGTCGCAGCGGAGTAGGTAACGCTTCAGTTCAGCTCTAATGAATCCCTCCTTGCGATGCCATGGGTGGAAGGAGGAGAAGGGCAGATAGAGGTATCGGTTTAACGGCTTCTAGAAGGTGCCGATATCCAGGATACCATGCTCCTGAAAGCGGGGTCCTTTGGAAAGGACCAGATCGAGAAAGTCTATGGAGCTGTCCGAAACTGACCACGTAATCCTAATGTTAGGATCTAGCGCATTGAAGGTCTGTAGGTAGTCCTCCAGTTCTACCCGTGTTCCTGGCCAAATGAGAAAGCCGTCATCAATAAAGCGCACGTGGTGAAGAGGAACTGTTCCGATCCATCTATCCTTCAGCAACTCGTCAAGACGACTCATGAATAGGACGGCGAAGCACACAGCGACAGGAGTTCCCAAAGCTGTCCCCCGAACTTGATGATACGTCCGACCGTCGAACTCGACAAACGAGTTCCTCAAGACCCACCCCAAAAGGGCCATGAGAGGTAGAGCGAGCTGCGGATTCTCTCGTTGAAGAAAACAGTTGACTGCTTCGAGCCCGCGTTCTATGGAGATGCTGGGGTAGAGCGCGGTAACGTCGTAAGTTGCAAGAAGAACCGTCCTAGGAAAAGGGGTCCGTTCTAGCGTAGTCAACAGAGAAAGAGAGTCCCGAAGGTAGGTAGGTCGTTTGAGGACGAGCGGCCGTAGTTCTGCGTCCAACCAGCGGCTCACATTGGTAGTAACCCATAAATGTGAGGCGGCGATCGGCCGCCCCATGAGTTCCTTCTTGTGAAGCTTAGGCAGGATATAGAAGGCCGCATGCTTCCAACCTCCGAGTGGTTCATCAAAGAAAAATTTCCAGAGACTGTCTGGAAAAGCCGGTCCCCAGGCTGACTGTAACGACCGTAGCTGCTGCAGAACACTGGGCGTAGGGTCACGGTAAACCGGTTTGTACACAGCGTCATCTGTCAGGTGCTCCATACACAAGTTGACATAATGACTGTGGTCCATGATAGTGATACCCAGGTTCTTATCTGGTGCTTTGATAACAATGCTACGATCCGACGCCAGGGAGCGCAAGGCCGAGCGTACACCCCGTGAGAGATTCGAACCATGTCGAGGCCTTGCTGCTTTCATCAGGAAAGAGAGGTCATCATGTGCCTCCATGAAAACCGACTCCGGGACCTCGTCCCGATCGGGTTTCCAACTCGGGTTCCGCACCCGAAAGCGTGAAGATGCAGTTGGATCCCCTCTGTCATTGAAGAAAATTGAAGAGAAATCTGTCGATGTAGCTGATCGAGGGCTGCAGCGACTGACGGGTTCCAGGCATGTGTCGGTACGAACTTTAACCCCATCCCGAGTGCCATCCGCTCATCCGACGTTAAGGTCTTGGCACTCAGGTTATGCACCCCGAGATTCCGCACGCGCGACAACGCTTGATGAGGAGTCAGGCGGCCGAACCAACGGAGCGCAAGGTCGTGGGCCGTTACTTCTTCTTTGGCGGCCCTTTTGCAGGGCCGCCTCCGCCGTTTTTTGGAGCCCAGGCGTTCTTCGAGGATGGTGCTGGTGAAGCTTCACGGCCCTTCCCATTGCTGTCCGCCGGGACATCGGCTTTCTTTTTCTTACCGCCACGCTTCTTCTTGGCCTTGTTAGGCTTCGAATTAGCAGCAGCGGGGGTTGACTTCACATCCTGCTTGTCCAGCTCGAGCGACTTTAGCTTGGCAGATAGGGCGGCGTCAAATTCCGCCTTCAATTCCTTGCGGCTTTCGACCTTCGCCTTCTGTACCTGCTTCCGTACGATCTCGTCGATAGTCAACTTAGGTTCCATGCCGACCATCTCCTCAGCAGCAGCAGATTTCTTCAACTCCTCGGCTTCATGGGATTTCTGCCTCAACAACTCCTGAACTTTGATGTCGTCCTTGGCGGTGGCGATATCGGATCTAGCCCTCTCGATGCACTGAACCTTGATTTTCCTGAATTTCTCTTTGGCGACATCAGAAATCGCCAAATCAGGATCAGAATAGGGGCGTTTGATGTGATCCTCAAGTCTAGCCGCCAGAGCCGTGAGGTGTGAATCGAAAACCGCCAGCGCCTCTCCAACCTCCAATTCCTTGGTCTTAATGAAGTCCGTTTGGATCCGCTTCTGGTTCTCGAGATGAATAGCAGCAATCGAAGCTGCCGACTTTTCCCTCACCGAAGGGTACTTGGTCTGGAACTCGACGACTTTAGTGCGAAGGATGTGAAGAATCACGCCCTGTGCGTCAAGCGCCTTCATCTTCTTAAGCTTGGACTTTGACTTAAGGTAAGTCTTGTAATCTGCTCGAAATCCCTTGACAGCTTCTGCAGTCCAGCCATTGAAAGGCTCAGGAATCGTGATGGACTGATCAGGAACAGCCGCAGAGTTGCTACAACCAGCCGGTGCCGAAGTATCAGCTGGCCCAGCATTAGGAGCAGTTTCGACTTCCATGGCGGGAGGAGTTGCTGGATGCTTGTCCTTCTTCGAATTATCGTGAGTTGGAGCAGAGATTCCAGCACCGTCAAGATTACGAGGCCGCTTCGAATTCCGATGGTAGCCTGAGTAAGTTCTCGTCGACGCCCCTGCCTCACGAAAAACGATTGCAGAACTCCCTTCTCCTCTACCGGCGTCGTCTGGAGTAAGTGTAAGCGCAAGCGTATGTTCAGACATCCCAGCGAGCAGCAGTTTCTAAGGAGAAGGTTTAGCAAAGGAGAAAACAGTTGTAGTAAAATCCTAGCTGATTCGCGTAGGGTTCTGTAAAGTCGGAGCTCTTCACTAAGCAGTGGTTAAAACACGGACAAACATGTTTCGGCTGTAGGGAGACCCGTAGCAAGCCTTCATCATTGCAAAATGAAAGAAAGTGAGCGAGGCCTAGCCTTCTAAAGCAGAGCAAGAAAGGCTAACCACCGTATTTACAAATCCCTAGGCTATCTTCACCCTGGTCAACCCAAAAAGATGGGGACCAATCCAGGCTGCCCTGGAAATTCCAAGGAGCCACGTCTTCATTCCTCGACAGTGTCTTCGTGAGTAACAGTGCCTGCATCTTCGCCACGTCGCAAACTCAAGAGTCGCGCGCGCACCAGTAGCTTTGATAAGCTACACCCCAATTTCCAAGCAACAAAAATCCTATCTACATATAATCCGCGTGAGACAAGTCTCGTTTTGAGGCGCCTCAAAACGAGTCATGATGGGATGGGATAGGAGGGTGGAGGGAGACGGGCAATGTTACTGGCGTTGACTCACCTGCGACCCCACGCCATGGTACATCCCTGTGCTCACCTGCGACCCCACCTCATGGTACATGCCTGTGCTCACCTGCGACCCCACGCCATGGTACATGCCTGTGCTCACCTGCGACCCCACGCCATGGTACATGCCTGTGCTCACCGGCGACCCCACGCCATGGTACATCCCTGTGCTCACCTGCGACCCCACGCCATGGTACATCCCTGTGCTCACCTGCGACCCCACGCCATGGTACATGCTTGTGCTCACCTGCGACCCCACGCCATGGTACATCCCTGTGCTCACTTGCGACCCCATTCCATGGTACATGCCTGTGCTCACCTGCGACCCCACGCCATGGTACATCCCTGTGCTCACCTGCGACCCCACGCCATGGTACATGCCTGTGCTCACCTGCGACCCCACGCCATGGTACATCCCTGTGCTCACCTGCGACCCCACGCCATGGTACATGCCTGTGCTCACCTGCGACCCCACGCCGTGGTACATCCCTGTGCTCACCTGCGACCCCACGCCATGGTACATGCCTGTGCTCCACGGCACGAGCAGCAGGCGCCGGCCCTGGCAGGCACGGGGCGGCAGCATCTGGTGCAGCCAGATGTCGCGCTGTGATTGGCGCGTCATTGCCAGGTTGTTGCTGTCCGCCCCCCGCACCTTGGGGGATGTGGAGGGGCGGATGGGCGCATGGGGAGGGCGCATGGGGAGGGCGCATGGGGAGGGCGCATGGGGAGGGCGCATGGGGAGGGCGCATGGGGAGGGCGCATGGGGAGGGCGCATGGGGAGGGCGCATGGGGAGGGCGCATGGGGAGGGCGCATGGGGAGGGCGCATTGGGAAAGGGCGTGTGAGGAAGGGCGGGTGGGGAAGGGCGTATGGAGAAGGGCAGGTGGGGAAGGGCACATGGAACAAGGGCGGATGGGGTAGGGCGGTCGGGGGAACGGCAAGGAAAAGGCGGAGATGCAAGCAGAGGATGATGGAAAGACAGGGAGAGAGACGGGAGGGGAAGTAAGGAGAGGTGCACAGAGGGCGGTGAACGTACAGCTCTTGCGGTACAGTGGTGGCACGGTGAGAGTGGCGAAGAGCGGGCAGTGGAGTGGGCATGGGATGAGCGAAGCTGCTGCGAGTGTTCCCCGTACTACCTTCCCTTCCTCACCATCACTCCGTGCCCTGACTTGACATCTCCCCCTTATCACCACACACTCACCCATAGCCCAACCTGCTCCCAACATACATGCCCATCCTGCTCCCAACATACATGCCCATCCTGCTCCCAACATACATGCCCATCCTGCTCCCAACATACATGCCCATCCTGCTCCCAACATACATGCCCATCCTGCTCCCAACATACATGCCCATCCTGCTCCCAACATACATGCCCATCCTGCTCCCAACATACATGCCCATCCTGCTCCCAACATACATGCCCAACCTGCTCCCAACATACATGCCCATCCTGCTCCCAACATACATGCCCATCGTGCTCCCAACATACATGCCCAACCTGCTCCCAACATACATGCCCATCCTGCTCCCAACATACATGCCCATCCTGCTCCCAACATACATGCCCATCCTGCTCCCAACATACATGCCCATCCTGCTCCCAACATACATGCCCAACCTGCTCCCAACATACATGCCCATCCTGCTCCCAACATACATGCCCATCCTGCTCCCAACATACATGCCCATCCTGCTCCCAACATACATGCCCAACCTGCTCCCAACATACATGCCCATCCTGCTCCCAACATACATGCCCATCCTGCTCCCAACATACATGCCCATCCTGCTCCCAACATACATGCCCATCCTGCTCCCAACATACATGCCCATCCTGCTCCCAACATACATGCCCATCCTGCTCCCAACATACATGCCCATCCTGCTCCCAACATACATGCCCATCCTGCTCCCAACATACATGCCCATCCTGCTCCCAACATACATGCCCATCCTGCTCCCAACATACATGCCCATCCTGCTCCCAACATACATGCCCATCCTGCTCCCAACATACATGCCCATCCTGCTCCCAACATACATGCCCATCCTGCTCCCAACATACATGCCCATCCTGCTCCCAACATACATGCCCATCCTGCTCCCAACATACATGCCCATCCTGCTCCCAACATACATGCCCAACCTGCTCCCAACATACATGCCCATCCTGCTCCCAACATACATGCCCATCCTGCTCCCAACATACATGCCCATCCTACTCCCAACATACATGCCCAACCTGCTCCCAACATACATGCCCATCCTGCTCCCAACATACATGCCCATCCTGCTCCCAACATACATGCCCATCCTGCTCCCAACATACATGCCCATCCTGCTCCCAACATACATGCCCATCCTGCTCCCAACATACATGCCCATCCTGCTCCCAACATACATGCCCATCCTGCTCCCAACATACATGCCCATCCTGCTCCCAACATACATGCCCAACCTGCTCCCAACATACATGCCCATCCTGCTCCCAACATACATGCCCATCCTGCTCCCAACATACATGCCCATCCTGCTCCCAACATACATGCCCATCCTGCTCCCAACATACATGCCCAACCTGCTCCCAACATACATGCCCATCCTGCTCCCAACATACATGCCCAACCTGCTCCCAACATACATGCCCATCCTGCTCCCAACATACATGCCCATCCTGCTCCCAACATACATGCCCATCCTGCTCCCAACATACATGCCCATCCTGCTCCCAACATACATGCCCATCCTGCTCCCAACATACATGCCCATCCTGCTCCCAACATACATGCCCAACCTGCTCCCAACATACATGCCCATCCTGCTCCCAACATACATGCCCATCCTGCTCCCAACATACATGCCCATCCTGCTCCCAACATACATGCCCATCCTGCTCCCAACATACATGCCCATCCTGCTCCCAACATACATGCCCATCCTGCTCCCAACATACATGCCCAGCCTGCTCCCAACATACATGCCCATCCTGCTCCCAACATACACGCCCATCCTGCTCCCAACATACATGCCCATCCTGCTCCCAACATACACGCCCATCCTGCTCCCAACATACACGCCCATCCTGCTCCCAACATACACGCCCATCCTGCTCCCAACATACATGCCCATCCTGCTCCCAACATACATGCCCATCCTGCTCCCAACATACATGCCCATCCTGCTCCCAACATACATGCCCATCCTGCTCCCAACATACATGCCCATCCTGCTCCCAACATACATGCCCATCCTGCTCCCAACATACATGCCCATCCTGCTCCCAACATACATGCCCATCCTGCTCCCAACATACATGCCCATCCTGCTCCCAACATACATGCCCATCCTGCTCCCAACATACATGCCCATCCTGCTCCCAACATACATGCCCATCCTGCTCCCAACATACATGCCCATCCTGCTCCCAACATACATGCCCATCCTGCTCCCAACATACATGCCCATCCTGCTCCCAACATACATGCCCATCCTGCTCCCAACATACATGCCCATCCTGCTCCCAACATACATGCCCATCCTGCTCCCAACATACATGCCCACCCTGCTCCCAACATACATGCCCATCCTGCTCCCAACATACATGCCCATCCTGCTCCCAACATACACGCCCATCCTGCTCCCAACATACATGCCCATCCTGCTCCCAACATACATGCCCATCCTGCTCCCAACATACACGCCCATCCTGCTCCCAACATACATGCCCATCCTGCTCCCAACATACATGCCCATCCTGCTCCCAACATACATGCCCATCCTGCTCCCAACATACATGCCCATCCTGCTCCCAACATACATGCCCATCCTGCTCCCAACATACATGCCCATCCTGCTCCCAACATACATGCCCATCCTGCTCCCAACATACATGCCCATCCTGCTCCCAACATACATGCCCATCCTGCTCCCAACATACATGCCCATCCTGCTCCCAACATACATGCCCATCCTGCTCCCAACATACATGCCCATCCTGCTCCCAACATACATGCCCATCCTGCTCCCAACATACATGCCCATCCTGCTCCCAACATACATGCCCATCCTGCTCCCAACATACATGCCCATCCTGCTCCCAACATACATGCCCATCCTGCTCCCAACATACATGCCCATCCTGCTCCCAACATACATGCCCATCCTGCTCCCAACATACATGCCCATCCTGCTCCCAACATACATGCCCATCCTGCTCCCAACATACATGCCCAACCTGCTCCCAACATACATGCCCATCCTGCTCCCAACATACATGCCCATCGTGCTCCCAACATACATGCCCAACCTGCTCCCAACATACATGCCCATCCTGCTCCCAACATACATGCCCATCCTGCTCCCAACATACATGCCCATCCTGCTCCCAACATACATGCCCATCCTGCTCCCAACATACATGCCCAACCTGCTCCCAACATACATGCCCATCCTGCTCCCAACATACATGCCCATCCTGCTCCCAACATACATGCCCATCCTGCTCCCAACATACATGCCCAACCTGCTCCCAACATACATGCCCATCCTGCTCCCAACATACATGCCCATCCTGCTCCCAACATACATGCCCATCCTGCTCCCAACATACATGCCCATCCTGCTCCCAACATACATGCCCATCCTGCTCCCAACATACATGCCCATCCTGCTCCCAACATACATGCCCATCCTGCTCCCAACATACATGCCCATCCTGCTCCCAACATACATGCCCAACCTGCTCCCAACATACATGCCCATCCTGCTCCCAACATACATGCCCATCCTGCTCCCAACATACATGCCCATCCTGCTCCCAACATACATGCCCATCCTGCTCCCAACATACATGCCCATCCTGCTCCCAACATACATGCCCATCCTGCTCCCAACATACATGCCCATCCTGCTCCCAACATACATGCCCATCCTGCTCCCAACATACATGCCCAACCTGCTCCCAACATACATGCCCATCCTGCTCCCAACATACATGCCCATCCTGCTCCCAACATACATGCCCATCCTGCTCCCAACATACATGCCCAACCTGCTCCCAACATACATGCCCATCCTGCTCCCAACATACATGCCCATCCTGCTCCCAACATACATGCCCATCCTGCTCCCAACATACATGCCCATCCTGCTCCCAACATACATGCCCATCCTGCTCCCAACATACATGCCCATCCTGCTCCCAACATACATGCCCATCCTGCTCCCAACATACATGCCCATCCTGCTCCCAACATACATGCCCAACCTGCTCCCAACATACATGCCCATCCTGCTCCCAACATACATGCCCATCCTGCTCCCAACATACATGCCCATCCTGCTCCCAACATACATGCCCATCCTGCTCCCAACATACATGCCCAACCTGCTCCCAACATACATGCCCATCCTGCTCCCAACATACATGCCCAACCTGCTCCCAACATACATGCCCATCCTGCTCCCAACATACATGCCCATCCTGCTCCCAACATACATGCCCATCCTGCTCCCAACATACATGCCCATCCTGCTCCCAACATACATGCCCATCCTGCTCCCAACATACATGCCCATCCTGCTCCCAACATACATGCCCAACCTGCTCCCAACATACATGCCCATCCTGCTCCCAACATACATGCCCATCCTGCTCCCAACATACATGCCCATCCTGCTCCCAACATACATGCCCATCCTGCTCCCAACATACATGCCCATCCTGCTCCCAACATACATGCCCATCCTGCTCCCAACATACATGCCCAGCCTGCTCCCAACATACATGCCCATCCTGCTCCCAACATACACGCCCATCCTGCTCCCAACATACATGCCCATCCTGCTCCCAACATACACGCCCATCCTGCTCCCAACATACACGCCCATCCTGCTCCCAACATACACGCCCATCCTGC